AGAAATATTTACATATTAGAATATGCCAATTGCCAAGTGATAAAATGGTTCACCGATTCCTGTGAAAGGGTTGTTGTCGCAGGCGGAAATGGAGATGAAAATGCCTCAAACTCCCTTAATCCAGGAGAGGGTATTTATATAGACGATAATGGTGATGTTTATCTTCCAGATCAGAGGAATCATCGCATCCAGCTATGGTCAAACGGTTCATCGACGGGTGTCACAGTAGCTGGCGGTAATGGTCAAGGTGTCAGTTTAAATCAGCTTAATACTCCACTATCGGTTATACTTGACACAAACAAGAATATTTATGTAGCAGATTATTATAATAATCGTGTAGTGAAATGGCTTGTAGGTGCCAAAAGTGGAATAATTATTGCTGGCGACGGTGGCCGAGGCAGTGGAGAAAACCAGTTAAACCTTCCAAGCGGATTAAAATTCGATAAAATTGGTAATTTGTATGTTGTTGATCAAGGCAATAATCGTGTACAAAAATTTATCATTGATAACAATAGTTCACATGATGATGGTAAGTATACGTTTACACATTTAACCTAAAAAGGTGTTGATCTTTTGTTCTCAGAGTCATGAAATTCGAGTCTATATTATCCGACATCGATTTTGATTATTTTATTTTTGTACTGATAGAAACAAAACAAGTTTGAGAGGAGGGAAGGAGATAGCAGAAAACTTCTTCGAAAAAGTTAACATTAATAAATGCGTTTATCAAGAATATTCAACCCCAATGGGCTATTCATTTTTGTCAAATTTCATTTAACTTGTTTATTCTGCTGCTATCACGAATCAATTTTAAATGCCTCAGTTCTTTTTATTTTCTTTAGCTTATTTCTGATGACACAGATCAAATAAATGTTATTACAAATCTATTCATTTTAATTAATAATGGAATTTTATATAAAAGCTTTCCTTGACACTTGTTAATGTTTTATTTTAAATACCTTATTAGTTATCGTTATTTTATAAACATATTTCCCTAAGTGATATTTTGTTTCATCTAACTTGAAGTTAACGCTAAATGAACATAAACGGTTGATTGTAAAATCGGACAGAATTATAGTAGATATACGTTTTTTTTTTTCTTTTTTCAAAAATCAAATTTTTTCTCTTTCTTTCCTTTTTGGTGTGCATTTATTTCTTATTTTTTTTTAACACGTTAATAAGAGCAGTAAAGAAATTATAAAAATTGCTAACAAAGAAGTTTACCAGATTTATTCCAGCAGCTAAACCTCCAACTTATCGTCGATCAAGAGAACAAAAGCGGGTTTACAACTGAAAGAAAATTTTATAATAACCGACGTGATTATTACGGCAAAATGTTTTGTATTTGTTTGAAATAAAATAGTATTTCAAAATCAAATTATTTCTCCCAATTTTGATTTTCCTCAAACTGTCCCAGTTTGTCGAAGATACTTTGAAATAAATATATCTCTTAACGTTGTTATGGTTTACTGATGCTATTAGGACGAGAAAAAATTAATTAGTTAAAAGAACGTTGCTGAGTTTTCTAGCATGGAGCTATTATTAAAACTACTCCTATCCCAACACCAGTTAAAAACTGGTGCATGCCTATTCGTACCGTGATTAATATATAGTGCAGACTTCTGTAGACAATATATGATTATATCGTTGATAAATCTTGCCATTTCAGCCAAAAATCTTTTTTTGAAATAAAAATGAAATAAGAATTTTGACTGACTTCTCAAGACAAACTTGAAAAAAATCTTGACTACTGTCAAGAATCAAAAATCTTGCAAGAAATAAAACAAGAAAGTCGACCGGTCATAATACATCAATCGACTTTCTTTTTTTACTCTTTGTAGTACGACGGTAAGGAAGGGAGCAAAAAAATATTCGCATTTCCATATGAATATAGAAGTTTGCATTCAAACACACACGTGTTATATCCGAACGACACGTTGGAAAATGCTTCGTTTTTTGTTTTCTTTGTGCTGGAGGACTGTTGGTTGCATTTGTTCACAGCGAAAAAGAAAAGGATTGAGACGTTAGTCAACCAATCATTGCACTAACATTTGTCCATATTATATTTTCTATTCTTGATCAAAAAAATTTTCTCGAAGCAGTAACAGCAGCCCAAGACTTCAAAGTTATATTTTTACTACCATTTCGAGAAACTTTTGTTCTTAACTCATCAACAGAGTCAATTATGTGGCAGTCTATGATCTTTTTCTACTTTGCGAATGCACAATGGCGTTAGAAGCTTAAGTTAAGCTTCTAACGCCACTGTGCATTCGCAAAGTTATATAGACCCCTGTCTTACTCGTGTTTTCGGAAAACACGAGTAAGACATCCTTACGGACGTTTGACATCCTTTCGACGTTGAAAATGTCTTAATCAGGTATATGAAAAAATTACTCCAACGAAATTGATAAGTAAACTGCATTTCTCTGTCGATCTGAGCAAGAACCAGGCTTTTATAATAGGTTGAAAACGGATAGGAGTAGTTTTAATAATAGCTCCATGCTAGAAAACTCAGCAACGTTCTTTTAACTAATTAATTTTTTCTCGTCC